ACATTGGAAAAGGTTTGTCTAAATATGTGGCATCTCGTTTAGATGTGATTTGCATGTGGTGAAGTACTTTTAAGCATGCCTTGTTATGCGGAGAAGTCTCTAGGATACAGTGACAAACTGTCTGTGAGTTAGTAGCCAGCTTTTAAGGATAACATGGCAACTGATATCAATTTGAGGTTAGTGAAGCCTTATAAAGCTTTATGACAATTCAATATTGGCTTCGTTCCTATACATTTAGTGCATTGCTTAAGTCATTGTTGGCATTATTAACTCTGATTGGGAATTGATACGGAATTGCAGTCAGCATAGTTTTGCTACTTGTTTTGTTTATATCTTGTTTACAGTTCCAAGCGAACGTGGAAACGGTTCTGCTCGTGTGGAGCTAATGAAAATATTCGCAATGCATTCGAAGCGAATGACTGCATCAGTTCATATGTGAGAACTGATAGGCTCATAGGTAAAATGTGTATTTTTATAATAATTTCAAGTTAAAAAGTAAACATAAAATAGCAAAGTCATTATATATATAGCAAAAAAAAGCTTTAATTAGAATTTACACAATGAGTATAGCAATAGGGCAATGAACCTCGCCATTGTAAAAAGTTATTCCTAAAACTGTGTATAATTGAGTAGTTTCTGCATTTCAGTAATTTTTAGTTAAAAGTATAATTAGTATTTGTGTAATCAATAATTTCTGCACCATTAATTTTAGAAATTTAAAATATTGTTGCATTTAAAATAGTTGAACTTTAATTGACCAGGTTGGCATAATTGAACTTCAGCCAGTTTTAAAGTGCTATAAGAGAGATCAGGTGGGACTGGGAGAGAGAGAGGGAGGTAGATAAAGAGAGAGAGAAAGAGTGATTACAAGACATCATGACCACGGTTGCCACTTGAAAATTTTTTTCTGTACCAAAATTGATTTAAAAAGGTACCATTTCTGTAAAAAAAATTTTTTTGGACCTTTTTGTTTTCTCGTTCTGTGTTTTTCATAGTGTTATAAATGAACAAAATATAAATAGTGCAAAGTTGCATTTATAAAAAAAATTAATTGGAAATATCCACAATAAAATTGGGTCGTCAAAAATGTACCAGTTTTTGAACATGAGTACTAGAGTACCAAACGGAAAAAAAGTACCAATTTTGGTACTAAAGTACCATAAGTGGCAACCGTGATCATGACCTATATTTTATGGTAGTTTGTACGGCATTAGAGGTTTATGTTGTAGTTTCTGCACCAGAAAGTCAAGGTTGATGCAAAAAGATTTGGAAGTATTCTGAAACCATGCAAATAAAAGATTTCGGAGACAAACAGAGTGTACCGTTTTACAAAGTACGCGATATACAATTGATAATAGTTGTAGAGCACAAACCAATAATTGAGAAAAGAAAACAGTAACTGAAATAAGACGAGAGTAATTGATATTAGACGATTTGTTTAGATCACACAATAGCTTCCACGATCACTAGTTGCAAGCCCGTTCTTGCATCTTCTTGGTATGGGATATTGTGCAAGTTAAAATCAGCGCTAAGAAATATTATAGTATTAACTTGCATTAAGAAATTTTTCTTTGTGATTGGATCAAGTATCCGCAAGTGCATATTCGTGTATCGTACGTTGCGTTTGTTTATCGGCTTACAATCAAAAATTCAAAATATATACTAAAAATTAATTTGTTTTCCAAAATTTTTTCCATGGGTTCAATGACATTCGATTTGAAATAAAAACATGTAGCATTCGAAAAATCGATCCGTTTTGTGGTGATTGTTACTGACTTCATCACAAAATATGAAAATTTAATAATTAAGTGAATTTTATCAAAGTCGAAGTGCTCGTGTGCTTAGTTAATACACATCTCAATAAGTTAATAAAATACTTTTAGTAGTAAAAGTTGCTTTTTATTGAGTTGAAAACTAATTGTGGGTTTGAATTGTCCGAAAGACTTCATCATCATTACCAACTATAATCAAAAATTTTTTATGAAGATTATTTTTTTTCAATTAATTTTTAATTTTTTAATTAATTTAACTTTGGAAGTTTATAACAATATAATTAAGTAATTAAAATTTAACTTCAATATAATTGAAAAAATAGTTGACTTCAGAGATTCATTTATATTCATAAAGGAAAATATAGCATCTCTATCTCTAACTCCCAAATATTTATTTATAGTACTTTATGTTATTATTGGAGCAAATTAAGTAAATTTATATTTCCAACAGATTTATTGTATAAAATTACTTGGCAGAAATGCAATGTTCGCACAAAGCAAGTCCTTATAATTTGCTTGTTTATATGAATTAACAAATCCATTTATTTGAAAGCTGTAAATAAGAGATATGAGAATTTATAACATTTAAGAAAATTAAGTTTAAATAGGATTACATATTAGTATAATTTGTTCACTTGTCGGATGGAATAAACATGGCTCAAAACTTAATACTGGAAATGAATGATTTTGATTGGAGAGTAGAAAATGCATTCATAAACATATGAACACGTATGTATCTTTATACTTGTGATAAGTACACAAAGTGAATAAGTAGAAATTTATGTATTGAAATGTAATTTAAGGCAAGCCTTTTCGGTGTATTTAATTTCAACTAAAGATAAGTTAAATGCATCATTTGTTAACACATTTAATAAGAGATATTGAAAAGCATTTAGCAGACTCTTGAGCTAAGTACATTATCAAAATGTGAAATATTTTGACAGAGTTCTATATTTTATTTGATGGTACGGAATTTAAATTAAAGAAGGTGTTTCGAAAAGATTGTATAAATTTAATGTAAATATATTTTATATTTATTTAACTTAAGTAGAAATTTATCGAACTACTCATGTGCTTACTTAATAAACACGTCAATAAGTCAATAAGGAGGTTTTAAGTAGCTTTGGTATTAAATTGAAAGCCAATTGATGATTGTGAGTCATTAGAATGGGCGTTGTCTGGCTGCGCTGCTTTCCGGGCTATATTTATGGTCGTTAGACCTAAAAACTTAAGCCTCCTTCTCAAAAACTTATAAATAAATAATAAATAGAAAACAGATGAAGAGTGTATGATATTGTTAAGAGCCTGTGTTGTCAACACACTCCTGAAAATGTTCTGATATGTATATATACGTTATATATAACTATATGTCAAATTTTCGACTTTTATATAAGGTTACGTTTCTGAAGCAACTATTTTGGGTTCCAGAGTTCTAAACTATTTTGAACTTTATGTGAAATTTAAGATATTTTTAAAGGATAGGACTTGCGACTGATAAAAAATCTCTGCAGTATAGAACATATTTACTCTAAATTTAGCATTTATTAAATATTAATAAAGCTGATATAAAGTATTTTCTTTTATTTCGAAGCGGATATAGCAGAGATACTTGAAGGGAATATTTAATCGGCATAGTTTTTTAATTTACAGTGAAACAACAGCAAACAATAGCTTTGAGACCACCACAAAAAGTATCTTAATCAGATTGTTAAATTTTTGCTTATTTTAGTGGTATCTATTTGTTAACAAATGAATACATGTAGTCGACTTCTCCTAAGATTTCAAAGTTTGTTTGTATAATATTGTTTGTACAATAATATGTATGGTATCAACAAAGTTCTTTGCGATATTATGAATGTATTTCAAAGGCAGCAATACCGATCTTGCAATCGTTAAGATTAGTTGAACTGCCTCTATAACTCACATATTGTTCAACATCACATATAAACATATAATGAAGCGGTATCCAGTATTTTATAAAAGATTTGTTTTTAGAGGATATTTGTTTTCTCCCTTTACTTTTGCTCACAAAGTCTTCGAATAATTTCACTGAGAATAATATTTACAAATCCGGATATTCGAAGACCCCAAATTTACAAAAAATCAGATTTTTATTCAATTCAGGAGACTACATGGCTATCCGATTAATCGAATAATCGAACCACTTCGGATACAATTAGGACTTCAAAGGATATCCGGTGATATCCGGTATAGCGCTATCGTTAACGTGGTAAAAAGATAAAACTAATTGTTTATGAGTAGTACAACTAGTTTAATACACAGCCAAAGATGTCCTGAGATGTATATAACAATATCTATACGTCATATTAAAGGATAAAAAAATATACATAAAAGTATACTTAAGTCAGTGTACTGAAAAGATTGAAAAGACTTTTTTAGAGAGATGTGCTAGACCAAGTCGAAATCCATAAACGAGTTGTTAGGTTCAACTAAAGAATTAAGTAGTAAATAATCAATGAAAATGATAAAAAAATTGGACATAACAAATTACAAAATAATGCACATTGAAGGACATTGAAAATTTAACAAAACTAAACATATATTTAATTGTTATATTTTATTTGTACGTCCCTAAGATGATTTGTACTAAGTGGGTGATATGGTGATAAACTGGGAGGGTAGCGTTAAATACCTTGGCATCACGTTGGACAAACGATTCAGATGGCTTAAACATGTTCAACTGAAAAGAATTAGCTGTGCCAAAATTCTTCATCACCTCTAACCGCTTTTCAGAAATGAAAATCTCAATGCTAAGAACAGGAAACTGATATATAACCAAATAATTCGTCCGTCACTTCTATATGGTTGTGTAGCGTTTAGCAAAGTTTCAAACACTACTATTCACCAGCTAGAAATTGCTCAAAGCCAGGCTCTGAGAAGACTTTTTAAAGTTCCATGTTACATTAGAACGAATGACATCCTCAGGGACATCAAAATTGATCCCATCAAAAAATACATAAAGCATAGAGCCCTGAAATTATTTGCGAAAACTAACAGATTTACCAACGCCGCGTTATCAAATCTCAGAATGGTTACAGGCTCCTCGGGGAGGTATGCAGATCTGATTAGTCTGACGAAGTGATAAACAATAATCCAGTTAAAGTGTAAAGAGGGGTTTTGAAAATACCTCGAGTTAAAAAAGAGTATAAGTGTTTATGTGCACTAGCTCAATACAGCTTCAACAAAATAAACTAATATTTAATTGTTATATTTTATTTGTACATCCCTAAGATGATTTGTACTAAGATGATGTTAGAGTTATTTATAATGGAAATTAGAATAAAAATATATTATTCGAATATGACTGTTTTTCACTAAAGATAATTTTTCCTCTTCGCAATTAAAACTATCTTCTAGCTATTATTATTTCTTATTTGTTTTACTTAAGTGCGCCTGTGAAATCCTTGTCAGTTATCTTAGCTTAATTTGACTGAGACATTTAATATTCACACTTGATTTGAAGTGTCCTTTATGTTCCGATTTCGCCACTTGTTTATTTATTATAATGTATACGTATTTCAAGTACATATATTAAATAGAACATCACACAGAATTGAGTCCCTCTCAGCACATCCTTGCGTATGTGCACAAATCCAACAGAAATGGGCAGACAACTCAACGAATAAATATTATTTAGGTCGATTTTATGCATTGTCTCGTTATGTATATTTATATTCTCTTACATCTATGCTGATTGTAGTTGGATCCATACAGAACTCTAAGTAGGATTTGGTTTAAGTATTTTGCATTTTCATAATATTTGTTTTTGTTGTAGTTGACAAGTACATCTGTCATTTTAAGTGGCTTATTCATATGCAAGTGGTCACACAACATGCTCCAAGCCATTGCTCAATCCATATTTGAATATACAATATATATATATATATATATATATATGATATATGTATATATAAACTTTTTGTTTGTGTAACATTTTAGTTGTCCTTAGAACGACCAATAATAGAAGAAAAATATTAATGGTCGTTTGTGATGATGTTGCTGTTGGTTAGAGCAACTATGGTCACTTGTTTGTCTCATGCAGTGTGCTGTACTGACATTAACACAAATTGATATCCTTTTTCCTGTATTAAGCCAGTTATAAATGAATCCTTTCATGCGCTTTACATAAATGACAAATAATAGAAAAATACAAATGCATAGAAAAGTAAGTATGCAGATAGGCAATTTCAACATTAAGTATCTTCATGTTTAGTGAAAATATGCATAAAATTTTGATTTGATAAAGATTTTATTCTTGCAGGATATTTTGAAGAATATTTTCGTTTGACAATCCTTGAAAAACTGTTGTTTGACGTTTGAAACAATAGACAATTTGGTTTTGTTATAATTTTGTAAATTCAATTATTTTAAATTTTTCCTGTTTTTGAATTTTAAATCGACATTAAAATGTCTTTTATGCTCTGATAACTCTTTTGAATTTTATATGGAAATTTTATTATCAATGACTTTAATTGTTCGGTTATATAATTATATTTGATGACGAAATGCATTTGGAAGGCAAAAGGATTTTCTGAATTGCCAAAGAATCAATTGTTTTTGCTTGTTGGGATTTATTTAATAATTTATTTTTTGACATACAAATTGATAAAAATTTTCATGTAAATATATATTCATGGATCCGTAGTTATACCAGTTTAAATATTATAAAGGAGGTATTAGAATTATATATAACTTAGTTTGTGAATATATCATTGATGAACTTTAGATAAGGTTTATGCCATCGAAAGTGGTGGTTTCAAAGAGTTTAGTGATTTAAAAAACGTCTACATCTAAATTTAGACATATTAAATAGAATAGAAAATAAATGGGTACGTTCTTCTATGTAGCTGAACACTGCGATTATTATAGAAAGTTGGTAATGCTTACCGTCCCTGGTTTTCAAATGCTAAAAGAATGTCATATTTTAAGCAACGTTGACATTCTGTTTCCTCAGATCAACATAACTTGTTGAGAGGAATACGTAGGCAATGATAATCCGTAGATCACCTTTCAACAAACACAATTCCATTTTTTAGAGGAGAGACACACTACCGCCGTTGAACGCACTTCGAATATATGGAATGCTGCATCTGTGGAACTTCTTTCGGATGCAAACTATTTTCTATTGTTGTGAATAAACTTATACTACAATCAGAGATGAGTGGTTGATATATACGACAAATAGTTATAGATAGTCATTCATAAATAAAGGCTTATACCTCTTGAAAACTGTTTTCGATACATATGACTGATTCATTAACATGCAGCTATTAACAAATTAAAGTAAAACTGTTTATAAAAAACTGCAAACTGACTGAAACAGTTGTATGTTGCTATATGAATATATATTTTGATATCTGAGTGACGTCATACTCTTCTTGGATTTCGTTAAACAAATAAAATAACTTAGTCTTATATTTTTAAATATAAATGGTGTTCAAAATCAAAGGTACTTCAAAGAATTTATTGTTTATCTTCAGCTGAGATCAAATGACTGCTAAATAAAACATATTATACAATTAAGAGTTTTCAAGAGAAATGATAATGGATGGTTTTCTGAATTGCATAATATGTTTTAAAGGATACACAGTTTCAAATTTAACTATTACAATCACAAAATTAATTATCTCGTTTTTAAGTGGTAATGTTTAATATACCAATATCCTTTTAAACTACTGTTGAAACCAATTTCTTGTTTGAAATTCTCTTTTGCCGTTATCTTGTTCTTCCACATAACCTATAACTTTAAGTTATACTGACTGAGCACTTTTGACAGATCGTAAAAAATATTTGTATAAAAATAACTTTAAAAATATGTTCACATACTATTTATATACTATATATAAAAAATCGTGCCACTCTTTTTAAGTACTTTCTTTGAATTTGTGTATACATAATTTCAAGGATGAATTCTCACCAAAACTTTTTGGTGCTCTATTTTTATAATTTTATTAATAGTTTTGTTCCTAAATGGGCTAATTCGTCAATAGTTAAATAATACACCTTTTTAAAATTTTTTTTTTGAAAAAGTCTTTTTAATCAATATTTCGACTATATTCTATAGTCATTTTCAAGGAAAAATTTATTTAAAAAGTGTAATATTTAACTATTGACCAATTAATCTCTTTAAAAAACAGAATTATTATAAAAAAATTTTGGTTATGAAAACAATAAATTATTAAATATTTTATATTAAAAAAAAAATTATTTTTAAAAATAAAAATTATTTCATTGTGGTTTGTCTACCAAATTTCCTTTAGAATATTTATCTAATTATGAATTGCAAATAAATTTAAATGCTCTTACGATAGATAAAACCTATAAATAATTCAGTTTCTCATTTAATTGCAGCAATCGAAGTAAATGCATTAAGCGAAACCGAGACATTTACTTACCAAAATTCAAATTCGATGCTATGAAGGCAACAACCAACAGTAGTAGTTCAGCTCATACAGCAGCAACAAATTCAAGTATTAGCAGCTCTAGTTCCAGCTCAACGCCCAATACAGCAGTTGCGAAAACAGCATCATCCAAATCGGAAGCCGCAATATCCTTTTTAGCAGCAACTGCAACGAATACCACAGGACAAACGAAAATAAAGCCCGCTATTAAAGTGCCAAAAGTGAGTTTCGCACCACTCGACATTGAGTTACCGCCTAGCGCACCGATAGCCACGTGATACGAAAACATGCCGCACAACAACATTGTCTGTGAATGGCTGCGCGCCATTGGACTCAGTCAATATGCGGAAAGTTTTATGGAGAATGGTTATGATGAATTAGAAATATGCAAGCAAATCGGAGAAATCGATTTAGATGCAATCGGCGTGGACACTGCACAGCACCGCAGTAAACTACTGAAAAGTGTACGGACGCTAAGGGAGAAAGGTGCGGCAATTGTTTACGTGATGATCAATGATCCAAAGGCCTTAAGTAATAGCAATGAAATATTAAGCTCAGAATGTGATACACCCACCACAATGAAGGAACTACAAGCTGTGATGAAGCGACATCTCGAAGCGGATGGCATACGTTTAACAGCGCATCCTTATTCAACACCGGTGAGTATAGTATAGGTAGATATTGTAACTCAATTATTGTCTACCAAAGTAAGGAATGCAACGAAAAGTAAGACCGCCAAATATTTACAATGTGGGTCAAATGTGGCAGTTTCATGCATTTTCTTGCCATAGCAGTACCGTTGGGTACGCTGGCAGATTGTGGTATGGCTAGCTGCCAGTATCTTTCAATATATATTCGCATATATATAAATATTTTTTGCATATTTTCTGTAAAGTATGCTTGGTGAGCATTTAAAGTGCAATTTCTGTCTGACTGTTCTGCTATAAAGACAATAAATTTCTGTTCATTCATTCCCAGGGAATCAATAAGTTTCGTGTGTGCACAGTGCATTTGACGTGCTAATTTGGCTAGGAATTGCAGAGTACTTTTGTCCATTCCACGAGCGCAGGTTTGGGTATGTGTGCCAGTGTGCTCTGTGTATACATCTGCGATAAAAATATTAACACAGAGTTTCATTTATTCACTATTT